GTACAAAACTAAACAGCCTACAGTATTTTTACAGTCTTTATTTTACAGTTAAAATAAATGTTTATCAAATAAAGTCTAATGTTACAACAAATCGGGGATCCTTTTAATGATTGTATGGGCAATTATTTAGACATTTTTACACTGACTTTACTCAAATTCTGACCTTTTTTTTACACTGACCGTACGTTTTTGATACCTACCAGTAATGTAGGGGAAACACCACATACTATCTGAATATTACTTATTATTAATCAATCAATTTAACTAATTTGCCTTAATAAATTAATTAATCCCCCTTACCTCTGGATCAACATAAACAGAAATATGAGATATAGATGAAAAATACAATAATGTAGTTGTAATGTAGAAAAGCTTGGGAAGAAATCTGTTCATACTAAACAGGTGGACAAACAAGTGGGCTTCATGTTCACAAACATACCAGGCCCTTTCGGTACTGTGGCAGGCGGCTGGTTTGAAACTCCTCAGGCAGGACAGTGAGCAGCTCCAACAACGCCAGGCACCGAGCCCGTCCATCCATACCGCCCCCCTCCTCCTGAAACACTCGGACCATTTCTGCCACWGCGCCGGGCCAGGCCTCGGGCATCGTGTTGAGAGCCAAGGAGGCCAGAGCCACACACAGTCGGGTCAGAACCATCTTGGAACCGGAGGAAAAGCGAGCAATCTGGGAGAACAACTGGCTCTTTAGGGACTCATACTGGTCTGTGGGAATATCGGACCAGTACCTTGAGATTTTGGTATGAAGTGCACTAGCTCCAAAGTACTGAATTTCTGGCACCTGCGTGAGAAAATACGATGGTTTCAATGTAAATATTTATATTGTCAGTGTTTGTATGTATTACTGGGTGGGTACCTTATCTGGGTTCAGTAAGGCCCAGCAGAACTGCCAGGCTTGAGGTGAAACCTGAGCTTGCATCAGCCATTTTTGGGCCAAATTCTTGTTTTCAATGTTGGGATCATAATACAACTGGTGAAGGGCCTGGAAACAAACAGAAAAATGTCATTAACAGAACTATAAAGAAGAAACTGTGCACACAAAGATCTTGTGAGAAATATCTGAAATGACAGTCCACTTAGTCACAATGGTGGGTGTTGAACAGACCAGCTAAAAAAACTAAAAACAACCACAATCCTTTACACTCTTACGTGATATAAAGAACCGATTACATAAATAAAACCACCCGCAAACACAGTGGACACAAATAACCCCCAAAACAAGAATAGACTAAAAAGCAATGAAATGAATGAATCACTCCCTGAAATAATGCATGAAATAATTTAGGTATTTGAGTGCAAAAGATTAGAAAAATAGAACAGTAGAAAAAAAATTCAACTAGATAGAGGGAAACGAAAAAATAGAAAAAGAGATTGTTAAATAAACAACTGTTGGATGCAGAAAGTGGTGGTATACATGTCTTTCTTTTCTTTTTTCCCCTCTCTGTCTTAGAGAAATACACTTACAAATACAAACACTTCATGAACCAAAAATTAATGTTTCACAACGCAAGGAACAAAACATCCATTGAGTTTTGGATCCTTTTTAAATTTTACCCTAAAACCAGTGGTGGGCACCAGTCCGCTAAAGAGCAAATCCARTAACTGCAGACCTAAATATTTTGTTAGCACTTTAGCGGTCTTACTAATTTTTATAATTCATAAGCGGATTTGTGC